CCACTATATTACTGCAATAACTGCAGTCGACATTAAAGTGAAAAGCAGATCCAGGTAAGGATAGTGGCTCTGTGCAATAGCCAATTAAATATATGTTTATTTTAAACAAAGTAAAATGCAGCAGTGGTTGAGCCAGCTCAAGATGGAAACACTTATTTTAATATAGAACTGGAAAATATGGGAGGTCTCATTTCTATAGCCTAGAGATTAACTGAGAGTAACAACATTGATTCCTGTGCTCCAGATACATTTAAGAAACATAGGAGCCATACCAACTACATACCGTGTATAAGATATTTGAAACTCATTTTTCTTCCCACTTTCTCTAACAGAATACTTGACCTTCTCTTTTAACAAACTGGATTGTTTCCATCTGTTAATATAGACAAGTTTATTTTTAATCTTGCTTTTCATTGACTCCATGAAAAAGACTCACATAAGCAAGTTTTGTAAATGCAACCCTCTGGAAGCAGCATTTTTAAAATCATTTCAAAGGACTATCAGTCTCCTGAAAAATCAGTAGGCTTGCCAAAGAAAGGTATCCTGTTATATACCTACATCAAACAACCCCATAAAAAATTCTGCCTGAGGGATCAAATGAGCTGATCTCAGAAATACAAATACCTTTTCTGAAATAGAATGCAGACAAGCCTAAGCCAGAGATCTTTTTTCCATTCTTACTTCTGAAGTCAGTTTTCCCTGCTAACCATTTTTGGTCACCAAAGGACCTCTTCCCTTTTCCATCCATTTCTACTTTGGTCTTTTGTTCATGTATGCATATTATACACATTAACTATTTTGTTTTTAAAAAATTCTTATTGTGGCCCTGTTTATGGCATATGAGCTAGCTCCATATGGCTCTTAGCCATCAAGCCACTGGCACACAATTTGAAGCCATGTGTAGAATAGACGTCAAAGCTGCCTACTATAAATATCTACTGGCTGCTGCTACATGCCTTTAAATTCCTGAATGGTTTGAATCTTAGCCTGCAATTCAAGAAACCATGCACCCAAATGGCAGAAGTCATCCCAATTCTGTTAAGTTTGTATATTTCATAGTATTTGCTGACAGAGTTTTCCAATGAAGTAAATTATTCCCAAATGCTTCAAGTCATGCCAGGAATGAAACTTCATGTCTACAGACTTTCATTTTAATGTTAGTAACCTACTTTTAAACATTAAGCTTATCCTTAAGCTTAACCTTAGTTCCTTTTTTTATTTTTCCTCTGGCTCATATTAAGTACCAAATTCAAGTATACCTCAAATTGATGAACAATCCATTACTGCAACTCATGAAGGTATTATTTTTTTCTGATGCCAAAAGTTCACCTAACGAACTATTATGTCATCTTGACCATCCAGTCTACACACTACAGTACTGCTCATTTCAAAATATAACACAATCTTTATCAACATAGGATCATCATAAGCCAAACGTCATGGAGGATACAGTTTTATGTGAGCTTATTTGAGCTAGTATTAGTTTGTTTAATGTTCACTTCCTTTTCGTTTATCCAATTATTTATTTACAATTAACAACTATGTCCCTTTCAGTTTCCAAAGTCCTTGTAACTACTTAGGAAAAACAGACAACAAACCATGAGGAAAAATACCATATTAAATAAAATAAAACATTTTAAACTAAAGAAACATAATATTAAACATTAAAAAATTCTTCATATCTAAAAAAAAATAACACCGCCAGTGCCAGATGAACATAACTACCCACTCTTCTCTGTAAACACTTCTATAATATTCAAGACATATTGAAGGACAAAGATTACTTTGATCTGAGACTGTTTAAACCTAGAAGGAAAGAGTTACTATGATTTCTACGCAAGTATATCACTTTTTCTATAATGTTTTCATTCGATGTCCAATTTTGTTATCCATGAAGATAAAACAAGTTACATCATAACCGGATCTTTGCTTAAATTAGTGAGTGTATTTACTTCTGGCTACTGTATTTTTTAAAATCAGTTTTAAGACTAATGTACCATTGGCCACATAAATGGGAATAGAGGTAGAGAAACAGGACAGTCTGCAACATAACCATTCTTTTTAGTTTTATTATTAACGTCTCTTACTGAAAAAAATCATATTCAGGTCTCAGCAGATTTATTTTTTAAAGTTAAATATATATGTATTATTCCTTTAAATTATTCACCTACATCTCAGTGAGGTGTTGAGTAACTTAATAATTCTCACTACCTAGTTAAAACTATATAAATTGATACCATGTACCTTACCCTTATCAGGCTGATTCAAATAATTTTTATCATATCATTTTATTAGCTTTCCTTTGGTGTTCCCTTTCTCCAGAGAGTAGGGATATTCTTTATGCAAAACTGGTTTCCAGATGATTTTTAGACTGCAAATCGTTAACTACTTTCAAATATGATGATGAAACGCCTCTTTTAATGAAATGTGTGCTCTTTCTAGTCTTTTGCATTCAAAATTATAACATCAACTCCTTCCTTACTTCCAAGATTAATCTCTTGCTAGATGAATGGAAAGTAAAATGTCTGACTATTCTGAAATTACAAACTTTTATAGATTTTATGTTAGCACTGTGAGTATTAAAATTTGAAACCAGAATTCAGCACAAAGTTGAATGGGCATAATTCAGTACATCACTGAGACACAAGAATAGCTTAGATATAATCAAATGCAATTTTATTCATTGTCTTAAATCTTTGCCTTCTAACAATTTTAAGCCAAAATGGCAACACGTTGTAATGGAGGGAAGTGCAAATGTTAACATATCAGGCCTAAGAATATTCAACCACTCAAAACTATTTTATAATAAGAACTATGCATATTACTTCTTTCAAAAAAGACACAACAATTCAATATTATTTTCACAAAGCAACTGCGTCTTCACTACATTTGTATCTTTCATAATTTCTGAATTTCAAAAGTCAAAATCCATCTCAGAAGAAAATTAGGATTCATAAAAACAAACAATTAAAGCCAAAGTAGAACTTTTGTAAATAAGTTAAAATTCTTAGGACATGTCTCTTCAGATATATTCCTTAAATGTAACAGTCAAGAGCTTGGAAAAAACAGCAGGGCAAAAGAAAATAGAGCAGAAATATGAAAATCCATGTTTTGCTTTGACTCATTCTGGATGTCTCCTATCCACAATAAAAGTGGGCCTTTGCTCAAAAGAGAACCCAGAGAAATGCAGAATTAGTTATCTGAGTCATTTATTTTATATCCAGCAATTAATGTTTTCAGCATTTTAATGTTCAGCAATTATACAGTATTGGCATGTTTTGACTATCTAAATTATGAAAGTAAAAGAGGGTAATACTTTTACATCATTCTAATATATAAATAGCTCACAGCTTCAGAAGATGGGTATTCTCAATGGAAAGACAACTATGAGGGGAAGACATGAAAACTTATCAATAAAAATGCCCCCGCTTCAGATTGAAGATTGTCTTAGAGAAAGTTACACTGCAACATTTTTTTTTTTTTTTAGAAAATTTAAAAACAACGTGAAAGACTATCTTAATCTTAGGGAAACAAGGACAGTGCTCCTTGTTCACTTTAGCAAGATACAGTCAGAAACTCTTTTATTCTTAAGAAGTAACCATTGAATTTTTGTTATTAATAGATTTTTATATCCATGAATTATTTATCACCGTACTAACAACCAGGCCTAACAAAATATCCATCGTCCTAGTCGCTTGAACTCCAAAGGAAGAAATCATAAACTGATGCTAGTGTCTTTTTTTAGCTAATCTCTAGCTAGTTTGGCTAATCTTTTTTAAAATTGCTAACCTTTTAAAATTAGCTAGCACTATACAAAAGCATAGATCAGGGGTCCTCAACCTTGGCAACTTTAAGACTTGTGGACTTCAACTCCCAGGATTCCTCAGCCAGCTTTGCTGGCTGAGCAAACCTGGGAGTTGAAGTCCACAAGTCTTAAAGTTGCCAAGATTGAGGACCCCTGGCATAGATACAGGATAGACAGTAGCTATCTTTTCAGTTCCCCTGACTGACCCTGGAAATAGGAGGAACGTGGCACAGAAGCACTGAAGAGCAAGAAATACGATAGCATCAAATTTAACCAGCCAGCAACTATGGGTGTGGTGCTAGGGCAAAATGAGTTGTGACCTATTCCAGAGGTCCCCTTCCTACTGTTGGCTGCCTCCACTTATATTCTCTCCCTCTCCCTAGAATAACAGAAGAGGCAATTTGCCGGAGTCACCCACTATGCGGCTTGGTTCAGCTTTGGAAGGCACAGAATGAAATGGAAATCTACAGTCAGCAATGGGGAAAAAAAGGTTTTACGACTTATGCTACTCCCTAGCTAATTCTTCTAAAAGGAGGACTCAGGAGAGCACTAGGAAAGATGGTAATGTTCTTCTTTTGTCCCTTTCCAATGCAGTAAGCTTGTATATTCTGAGGAAACCAGGGAGAGAGAGACCGAACCTTCTGCCAGCAACCTTTCACCCAGACAATTCTGCTGATAATTTAACTTCCATAGTTTTGATATAAATATTTAGAAAAAATAATCCTTTACTAGATTCTTAACTAAGGTCATTGCTGATGTTAAAAATCAAAATTTAAAATCTATTCTCACTGCTACTAAAATAAGAGGAAGTCAAATGAAGAATAATATAGACCAAAGGTACTTGATTTTACCTTAACAAGCTATGATATGGCAAACATAAATTCTGAACTATATCCCTTAGCTATCAGATAAGATTCTGATTAAGGGAGGATTATTGGTAAATCCACTCACTCCTTACAAATATTCCAGACATTAAACTCAGTATTTCTAAGAGACCTGATACATCACAAGTCAGGAAATTCTGAGATGCTATTTATGGCTCGGATTCCTGTGCAGGAATGCCAAGCATATGAACCATTTAATTACAGTGACTAGATATATTAGAAAGTATGTATAATATTTTACAAATTACTACAGAACTTAAAAGTATGCTTGCAAAGTTAAGGATAGCCTTAGCAAGAGTCCTACATTTCACCTTCTAATACTCTGAGGTCGTCAAGCAGTTCTTGGGCCAGAATTTGTAGATCTTTATTACGGCTCTTTGATAGCAAAAGAATACGTGGAAGTGGTAGGGAGTCACGTATTTCAAGAGCTGACTTAGTTAATATCTCTGGCTCCATAATCATGGACTGGAGAAGTCGTAATACATGAAAACATACTTCTGGATCTGGATCTAGAAAAGAGAACGAAAATAGTATAGCTATGTGGCTTTAAAGAATGGTCACCATATAAGTACAATAATGGCAATAATAAATACCATTCTTAGAATTTAAAGCAAAGCTCTAAATTATTCCAGTGAAGTCCTTCTAAAACTAATTATTTTAGCCACCTATTTACCAATGTTCTCTACACTAAATCCACAAAGCACAGAAATAGCAGTGCTACCTTCTCTGGTTCAATGTTTGGTTAAAAACCCTAAATTGGAATACTATTCCACACAACCGGGAATTCTGATTGTGCCAGTGGATGCAGTTATAATAATGGTAAAGCCAATCTGCATGTCTAGATTTCTTTTTCTCTTATTCTGTGATGCATGGAGAGACGTTTTTAAAAAGATGGCTGGTTTCTTTAGTCTTTCTTTAGTTCCAAATGTAGAACATTCCCTAAATGCAAAGGAAATTTCATGTGTTATTATCACTTGCAAAGATTGCTTATTACTATATTTTTTTCAATTAACTTTATATAATGCAACACTGAAGTGTAATCTGGTGAATTCTATAAGCAATATTACACTAGAACTATCCATCTACCTACCTACAGCGCTTCCATGATATTTCACGTTCAAGCTGCACAGAACCTATGATGCTGCTGCAACAAGCATCACCTCAGATACAACATATATTTATTATATAATATGTGTCAGTAAACAGGTTGGGTGGACTTTCAAGAAATATGAATAGGACAGAACTGTCTTACTCTCTGCTTCTTTCCAGGAAGTAGGGCTCCCTACATCAGACAAAAGGAGAAAAAACAAAACCAAAAAAATCCTGGATTTTTTTTATTTTCTGGTATCTGGTATTTGCAGCTCTGGGATCACATTTTCAGGTATCACATTCTATTCTGAATTAATGTTAAATAATTTAAAGAAAATGTTTATATACTCCTACTTCAAAATTTCTTGAATAAAATATTTAAGGTATTTATCAGAATTATAAAATGTCCAGTAAAATTTGATGCAACTAGCTTTCAAATATTAACAGGTACAACTGATACGGCAAAATGGGATTGTAATCACATGTGTCACTAGAGTTATATTGCCAGATGAACTACTCTCTGAAATGACACTTATGTAATTTCACTGCATCAATGCCAAACTGTTAATCATCAGTAGATCCTGGAAATATGAGAATTCAGTTAACATATGACTAACATTCTTTGATCTCAGAAGCAGAGCTTAACATGTTACTAAGTAATGACTGCAAGAGTCAGGCATCACTATGTGTTTTCCATTTTTTCTCACAAATTTTATATTAGGCTAGAAATTAGGAGACCACAAGTTCTCTCCTGCCAGCTGGATGACTTTGGGCCAGTAACTTTCTGATAGCCCTATTTCCAAACTCTTGCCAATGAGCAGAGTAGAATCTGGGATTCCTTTACCTTTACCTGGATTAGGGAGAGTCCCAGAATCACCCCAAAAGTTCATCCATTCAGTGGCAACTTGCAAGAAGACTCTGGAGTAGCAGTTTGAAGTTGTCAGATGAGTTGTCCAGCTGGGAGGTGGAGCTGCAATCACTTTGTTGTTGAAAAAGCAGCCATTTTGGAATTTATTTTTGGACGGAAAATAAGTTGTACCTTTCACTTCTTAAACACACTATTTGATTATTATCTTTACTAAGCTAAAAAGGCTCTTTTTGGTCACAGACTACTACTCCTTTTTGAAAAGCTGTGCCATTTTGGGGACATTATTACTGTTAAATAACAAGGAGGACAATTAGAAATAAGGAAGTGTTGATGGACTTTAAAAAAAATTCTGTTTTTATTTTATCATTTTCATGAATGTGCCACCTGTATTTGACATTGGGAGTTACAATTTTCAATTCTGGATTGTTTGTTTTGGGAGGTTAATATCTTTCAATTTTAATGGATTCTGATTGGAGAAACCAGTTTATCTAAAAAGTTTTTTTAAGAAGATTTATACTTTGATCACCAGAGGGAGCTAAAGAGTAGAAGAAGATGAACCAACATTGAAAGCATTCTAAGCTATCACTCCTTGAGATGGGCAGCAACAGAAATCAAATAACCAACTAAAGTTTCAATATTCTTGTCAGGACTCTACAACAGTAGTACATATATAGTGCAGTCCTATGAGTGTTTAGTTACAAATAAATCATATAGTACTGTGTTCAGTGATCTTCTTTGCTTAGGATTGGAGCCTCCATTCATGTGTACCTCTATTTGAAAATATATTCCAATGAAAATAATCACATATCTAAATAAGCATGTACATGATTGTGATTTTAAATCAGAAATAATGCATACTGGGGAACCAATGAGCATAATGATAAAGACATTCAGCTGCAAATCGGGAAGCCCTCTGATTTGAATGTTGCTTCTGTTTGAACTCAGTAATACAGCTATGTGCTTTCTTAGCTTCATTCATTCCATGTGCAATATTAAAAATGACAACACTGAAAATCATCCAGTGAAAATAAAAGCCTATTACAAGGATTACAAGATAATGTATCTGTGAATATTTGAAAGAGCAGTAATCATAAATATAATACAAATAATAATACATTATATTATTATCAGCATCGTCATCATTACATATCAGAATCTAAATCTTGGCTATGCTCTATATCACATGCTAATTACAAGGAAATTCTTCTCGGATGTGTTTTTCTTCATACAGAGAGTTCTTCCTGTTGCCTTTCTCTTTCTTGTCCCTTCATATAACCCTTCTATCTTTTACACTGATTCTAAAATACACAATTTCTTGGCAACATTTAAGGTATATAAAATATTGTTCTAATAAATCTAGAGGAGTAATTTTAAAAAATTAATGTTACTGAGCATTTTAAACTTCTATTTATTGTATTTATAAAAACCTTACCATTCAGGAGCCACCAGAGTAATGGGAAGAATCCTGCATTTTCACTGATATACTTCACACCTTTCATGTTGATACTAATATTATATAAGGACATCAGCATCAGCCTATAATAAAAGTTTAAAAAGTGACTGAAATGCATAGATGTATTTTTGGGGCAAAGTTATATTGCACCTTTTGATTGACAATCTTCAAGATACTATAGTAGCATATATACACATATAAATCTTTGATTAAACTGCATTTAATACAAAATGTGTTAGGTTTGTTTTGAATGTAAGGGCAACCTGATAAATGAAATTAACTATAAAGTTGTAAAATCAATTTAACTGATTATATTTGCATATGAGTAAAACTATAGCTTTGAAATAAAGCTTAGTTTATCTTTAGACTGTACAACACAAGACATACTATATAAAGTATCATAAGAAAGAAAAAGTGACATCCATAAAAATGTCTATTTTTAAAGAAAGTTTCCAGTTATATTATTGTTTCAATCAGTTAGAAGTATTTCTAAGTGTAATTAATAGATGATTTCTTAAAAATCCACTCCTTGAAATTTGAGAATGAACAATGGTCTTGATTTGAAAAGTCATTGCCTCTATAACAAATCAAATTAGAACTGAATCTTTTCAAAGCTTTTGTAAAGCTAATATAGGATAAACACGTCATGGCCAGAATACAAGTCACAGTGCATCTTGCCTATTTTTTGTCAGCAACCCTAAGACTTTTATAAAAAATTGTACAACAAACGGGATGTATTTGGTACAACTTAAACCTTTGTTGTGTGCAAAATTACTTAACAAATAAATCAATTGCTGCAAGAGAAGAACTTTTTAATTGTCAGATCCTTTCAGGATACCTTTCAAAATAACTATAGGATTTTCCCAGTTTGGAGAGCAAATGGTTGTCCAGTTATTGCTGGATATTTTATATTGAAACAGTTCTACCAATTATTTTAAGATGTCAATGAAGTCAGTTACATAGATCTATATAAAACTATTGCTCCTTCCTCTACCAGACAGAACTATCTATTTAGAAACTGATGAACTGAGATATTCATTTCTAAGCTCTCCCATCTCAGCAGAAACAAATGGTATTGAAAGAGGGACCACCAAATTCTGTTTTTTGACTCTGCCATCTTCATGCTCAATTCTCCCAAAAGTTAATCAGAAGAAATCTAAGAAATGCTATGCAAGCAAATACTGTACATTTTATGGCAGAAACCTACCCTGGTGGGAATATATGCCATTTAAAAAGAAATAAATGCCATATACCAAGAGGATACTTGTTAATTCAGTCATATTGCATGGAAAGGGGGGAATAATAGCCATAATATTAGTGAAATTGGATTTTCCCCCCTATCTAACAGTTGCATTGGAGATAGACACTATGATCACAAATAGGGAGAAATATCAATTTTCCTATCATTAAAATTCTGATACTAACCATCATAATCAGAAATGAAGGTATTATTGCTCAAAATATCTGGGGCTAGAGGGGAGGGATGAGAAAAAATATTAGTTTTTTTATGCCTAAGTAGTTTGCTTCTCATGGAATTGCTATCCAAGCTGACTCTTTACCTGAATAATTTCATCAGGGGAATGTGTATCTAAGGAAGAACGACAATCAGAGCTATTGTTGATTAGTAATACAATGTACTTTTGGGGGTTTGATCAGGAGCTAGCTAAAATCTTATCCCTCCCAAAAAGGAATGGCATTCCAAAGAAGTTTCTTTCTTGAGAAAAAATAATCAGTTTTACTCCTACTTCCTTTCGTCCTAGATAACACAATTGCATCATAGTTTCCCATGTGATTCAATTTTTATAGAAGAGCAGACTCACATGGGAGAGGCTTTTCTGACAACATTTTAAAGAAAAATAGGACAACTTTTGAGTCATCACATGGCTCATTTTGCAAGCTCCAGGCCTTTGATTTTTTTACTTAAGATTAGTCTGAAGGACCAAATACAGTACCCCTCGACTATGACTATAATGGAGCCTAGAATCTGTATGTAAGCCATAAGGATCATAAGTTGAGACATCCACATGACCAACCTGATTTCACGACATTTTCTGCTTTGGTTGTTACATGAAAGCCACAGTCTTAAAGCGAATGCTGCAATAATTATTAAGTAAGTGCCATGGGTGTTAAGTGGATCCATGATCTACAATGCGTGTTTTTTTTGCCACAAACCAGAAGTAAATATCAGTTTCCAGTAAAAAAATATTGTAAATCGTGGTCATGTGATCACAAGATGCTGCAAACTGCCATAAATGTGGACCAGTTGCTAAGCCCCCAAAGTCCAATCACATAGCCACGAGAGTCACTCATCCTCAAAGAGTGCTTCAATGAGTATGCAGTTACCTCTGTGAGAAAACATTACAAACCTATTCAATGAGAATAGTGAGAAAATGATTTTTAACTCCCCCCAAAATAAACAAAATAGTATGGTTTACGAATAAAAATAGAGAATAACGGTAAAGAGGTGGAACATATAATATCTAAACCTGGTGGTACAGCAGGGAGTTGTAAAAAGAATGAGGGGACAAGAAGGAATAGATCCTGCTGAGAGCTTTGTATTTCTCATGACTTCTTCTCCTCACTACAAAAAGGAGGTAGTAATGGTTCTAAGTGTTTTGTTCCTTCTTCCTTCATGGGTTATAGCAAACACCATGCATACAGTGCCTGGAGGCTCTGTTCCATGCATCTAGGCTAGATTTTATTTTGAATCCCTAAGTCTCTGTGTAATTTTACATATAGAAGTGCTCACAAGTCACCAAATGACCTTGTGAAATAACATTGTGCAAAAAGCTCCCTTATATGCTGCTTTCTTACCATAATTACCTATCATCTGAATTCCCTGATATGAAGTTAGAAAGATATCAATTCAAACTGCAAAATCTATCTGAATTTGCTTCCCTGTGGGTTTAAGAAAATATAGATATCTATACTTGTGTGGCCACAAAATGAAAGAAAGTCCACAGAGCCATCTAGTTCCCTATCTCACCAAAGTCAACTGGGAAAAAAAAGTCCTTCTCCAGATCTTGGTGACTGTCCTTCCAATGATAATACAACTTTGCACATAGACTGAAAAGTTTATGGGTTTGGTGTTTTGCTGGATGAACTTTGTTAACACACTTGATTTTTCACAAATATAATAAAAAATCTTATGTTAGCAGCTAACAGGTCTAGAATATGACTGTGCATTACATCTTCTATTATTTACTTTTCAGGGAGGCCATTGTATATTTATTTAAATTACAGGAAGTAATCTGCCATTACTTTTGAAGTGACATAACTCTTGTCAAGCCACTTGTTGCTCTTTACACAGCACTCTCAAAATATACACAGTGTGTAAATACTGTTCTGAATTCAGCAAGTTTCAAAAGCCTAACAGAAGTCTATTTCACAATGCAAACTTGTAGACTTGCTAACACTCAAACATATTTGTTTAAACACTATTTTTTAACTTCTATTTGATAGATTGAAAGTTATTTCTATTGCAGTATTTTTTCCTAGGAAAATATAGATTGAATGCCAGCATAAAGATTGTAATAATTTCTTGTTACTTACTAATGTACCACTTATGGATCTTAATCTGCTTTATATCTTCTCTTACATCTCAATCTTTTTAAGGATTTTTTTAAAAAATTGTGAGAGATCCTAACCTCAGAATTTAGATTGAACTAGACAACCGTGGGTAATTACTTCAGAGATATTTCCTTAACAGATTTCTCAATGCCTTCAATAATGGCAGAACTTCTAATATGCTTGAAAAGTTTGTAAGAATTCAGGGAGATATTCAGAGATGTAGTGCCTTGAAAATATGAACTGTATAACACAGTCAAATATCCGGAGTTGACCACAGGAAATGTTTAATGACATTTTGTATTATGTCATAAGATGTTTTATAAAATTTGCCAAATTTCAATTCTACTGGAATCGTGGATTCTGGATTTTGGATACATTCTGTAAGTTAGCCCATTTGAGATATCTAGGTTCAAAAATTATTGCCCTATGAGCATCAGCCTAATAAATAATAGAGTTGTATGACGGAGTAAAAATGCTAGACCACTTTGAATTAGAAACACATCTGAAATTACAACTGCATTGTATCTGCAATCACTTTTTCAATATATCATCAAAATAAAGCAGAAAATTAAGAGCTTGGTTTACAGAAACTGCCTTGGGGGGGGGGGAACTACAGCAATTATTACAGGACTAGAATTCTTATTGAAAAGAGAAGCCAAGCCTGTCGGTTTGCTGAAGATCATACATATAGCAACATTGGGGACAAGAAGGGTGTTTTGTTTTGTTTTTGCCCTGTCAATGTTATTCAGCTTTAAAACATTCAGCTTTAAAACAGAAAGCAATCTTGGTGTAATTAGGAGATAGAACCTCAAGTAAAATCTCCTCAAATATTGATCTCACTCTCCTTATTGATAGCTTTTTTCAGTATTTGATAGAACAACATCTGAACATTTATAAGATATGTTTCTGGTAGATTATGCCTAAACAGCAGGCTCAGATGTGATTATATATGCCCCTCTTCCTTCTTGAGGATAAGGTCAAATAAACCTCTTATCCATGACCATCAAGGATAGACCAGATTCTAAAACAGCTTGGAGAAAAATACAGAAAAGAATAAATATTTTATTTAATGCAGAACAGAAATGAGGGGAACAATAAGAAAAATGTTCCGGTTTGTTCCTATTTATCAACTTCCAGAGAGGACCATACTAATTCCAAAGTTCCTCCTGTTTTCCCAGACAAAATATGAACAGCTACTCTACTATGTCATTAAACAAAGAAAAGTCATATTAAATTTCTTATAACACAAAGGATTAACACAAAATGCAATATATTTTTACCATCTACTAATCAGCAGACACAGCAAACCAAATTAAAAAGTGTTATAGAAAAACATGTCTGTACTTAGGTTTTTCAGCTGTTCTTTTTCTAGGCAATTAAGAAAGCTGTGCAATGATGAAATGCTAAAATTATAGAGAGTTTATATATCTACTATTAAGTTGTTCAAAGGGCAAAGCTCACTATTTAGAACAGACATGTCAAACTTGCAACGTCACGTGACGTCGCGCAACGTATTGGGACTGTTTTGCCATTGCCGGCAAAGATGGGGGCGCGGCTTCCACATGACGCCTCCGGCCCGCAGGCCGGCAGTTTGACACCACTGATTTAGAATATTAGCCTAGGAAATGCTTTTTAATCCTTTGGAACCTCCTCCTATTATCACTGCTCTTACAACTTTTACATCAAAATGTTATATTTATACTTAAGTTTAAGCATTTTAATTAGGCATCACTTTTTTAAAATATATTTTCTTAGCCACAAAAATATAGTTCTATGATTCACAATCTCTGAAAAAAAAATCTCAATTTAATACAGTATTAAACCTATAGCACCCTCTGCTGTCCACCCTTTATAATAACATTCAAGACACTAAAATGTGCATCATATATTAATTTTTTTAACTAGCAAATGAAAATTAAATAAATTACCTATAATTAAAAACTAAGGAAAATTCTTTTTAGGCTAAATCAAGTCAAATAATTTAGTGTAGAAATCTTTTGTTAATATATGCATAAGTAATAGCAATCATGAGCTGGAACCTGTTGCTTTATCAGTCCACCTCTTATATCTGATAGTCTTTATACTAAGCACAGTATTTTTGGAAGTTCCCAGAGTTTTGAAGATGGCTTACAAATTTGCACAGAGTTGTCTTTTCAAAAAGAGACAACTTAGAGGTCCCTATCTGTGTGTGTGGATAGATTTAGTATTGTTCCATTTTTATTTCTGCAATTCTACCTAGCTTGATAAAAAAAGAAATTTCTATCCTAACTGGATTTATTAGACTGTGGGTTTGGGACTGAGTGGTACTTCCTTTCCTTTGGAGAATTTGCTATTTACAGCATGCATTTTTAACTGTTCTAAAGTTAACTGTTTTAACTTAACAGTAGTGTGTTAAGATAAATTTGTTTAATATATGATTAACATTATTGTTTAATGTAATATTAATATAAGATATTAAAGATAACACTTTAATTCAAAAATAATCAATTATCATACACTTTTAGTTTGGTGCAACATCCTGGCTTCATATCTCTCAGCAACTGAATCATTGTGTCCAGCAGTACCTGATTTGAACCAACAAGGAATTCACGACCAATTGCTAAAGCAGCAACATCTAAGAAAACACAAAATAAAATATAAAAACTTTAAACAAGTTGTGTTCTTATTTAAGAACGCTACTGAAAAAAGTAACTTTCAGAAAGGCTACTAATTAGTTGTTGAACACACACACACACAAATCATTCGCGTATAATATTATGACTTAGAATTAGTTAAGATTTATATCCTACCTTTCCTCCAGTAGATGATTATTAAATAATTAATTAAATTCATATGCCGCCCATTTCACCTGTAAGACAACTTTCTAACTAATATCTATGTGGAAGGGAAAGGGGTCAGACCAATAAAAATAGTGTCACAGCACTGCAGCAGAAGCTCCACCTCTTTCTACATGTGCCAAGCAACATCATGCATGTTGTAGATTCCAAAGAGGCTTTGTGTTTCAATGCTGTGGATGCTGCTGCACCCCCCCAAAAAACTTTTTGCACAAAAGCCTTGCACAGGTTGGACTCAGAGACAATTAGTCCAGATTACTGTTTTGTTAAATTTATATCATGCCTTTTGTCCAAGAAGTCAAGGTAACTGACATAGAGATTGCCTTTTATTTTATTCCCACAAAATCCTGTGGTGTAGGTTGTTGAGAGATATAGACTAGCCCAAAGTGAGAAGTTTTTTCCACAATGAAAAAAAAATTGCTAGGCATTAAGCACAGTATTTGCTGTGTTTGGTAATTTCATTGTATAGGTCTGCCTAATTCTGAAATGATTCTGGGTAGTTTCGTAAGATTAAAAGAAATGATGCCTAAAGACAAATCTATATCTGATGAACAGCTATTTGAGGAAATAACAAATTTTTAATCCAAGGCTGGGTGGGGATGGAAGGAAGGGAAGGTTTCAAAAGATGGCTTGAAGGCAGGCAAGGGATCCCTACACACCACAGGGGAAGCTGCTCCAAAGGCAACAGAGGAGGCTTAGCTTCTGGGTCCTACTGAAGGACACTGCTTAATCAATGGGACCCAAAGCAAGCTGACACTGTTGGAGCCCACAATCCCTCAGATAGCTAGGCTCTATGCCAGGGGTTCTCAACCTTGGCAACTTTAAGAGGTGTGGACTTCAACTCCCAGCATTCCTCAGCCAGCTTTGCTGGCTGAGGAATGCTGGGAGTTGAAGTCCACACCTCTTAAAGTTGCCAAGGTTGAGAACCCCTGCTCTATGCCATGCCATATGAAGCACTCACAGCCACTTAAGTCTTGTTAGGGTTGAACCTGAGCCTAATCCTCCAGCCCTAACAGTCTCCAGGTAATGGACAAGACATCTACAAAAATTAATAATCCAGAGCAATTGTAATATGCATATAAATCCCAGTTCGCAAACAAATCACCAACAAATCATGATAACTAATAAATAGCTAATAAATAGTTGTGCTACAGAAGATCTGAAGTATTTTAGTTTATTTTTTTATTAAGATAAAAACAGTAATTTGCATGAATGGTAAATTCCCTGCCCTGTTGTTTTCTAGATGCAAATCCTGGTTAGGAGACAGAAACAAAATGGTCTTTGTCTCCCTATTTATCACTACAAGGTTTAAAATCCTGCTACATAGAAAGAAGCACATGTAACTTTGGGGAGAATTCTAAAAGTATAAGGAAAAATATTTTGATTCCACTTATATTACATGTAGCTGCCTAGAATATTTGGAATGTGGCATCTGTCATTATTTCTTTGACATGCTATTTATACTACATTTATCACTGAAATAAAATTTGAAAGAAATGTTAAACTATATTCTGTTCAAACTATGAACAAGTTATGTTTTCTTATTTCAAAAACTTTGACTAAATGTCAGAAATTTTGAAGATACATACAGCATAGCATAATCTGAGGCAGATACCCCATAGCTCAATGATGGCGAACCTTTAAGAGGCCGAGTGCCCAAACTGCAACCCAAAACCCACTTATGCATCGTCGGGTGCCAGATGGCTGTGGCCCATTGGGTGGGCGTCGCCCATTGGGTGGGCGTGGCTACGGTGGTAACAGCAGACTGGGTGGGACTAAAAAGTTCAATCAATCAATTCCAACTTTGCAAGATCTTTTTTTCCCTGCGAGAAGTTGAAATTGACTGATTGAACCTTTTTTTTTTGTACATGGCGGCGGAGGCCTAAAGTGAAAAGATTTTATAAAACCAGGCTGAAGGCCTAGGACTGGGGCGACGGCGTGTGTGCCCACAGAGAGGGCTCTGAGTGCCGCCTCTGGCACCCGTGCCATAGGTTTGCCACTACTGCCATAGCTTTTCTGTCAGAGGGAAAAGAAGAAATATTTTATTTGTCAAATATAGTTCTGAAGTCAAAGTAAGTAAAGATGGATTAGTATTAAAGATGTTAATGTAATATGATCAGTTTTCATAAATAATTTGGTCATACTAAAATAAGCTAAATTAAAAACAAACTTGAAGAGTTGTAAGTCAACAAATGATTTTTTATTATTCCATAAAATATTAGAAGTTACTTACTTGTAACAATTCCAGCCAAACCTAATACAAACTGACTTTCATCAGAATCCATATCCTGATGTTTGCTATCTTCATTTAAAGAGTGGACAAAACTCTCCATTGTTTGTCCAGCAATAGTAAAAAACTTTACAGCCTGAGCCTGAAATTTCATAGGGAAAAATAACTATTTAATAAACCTATGAATTTATAAAAACTAGCATTTCAAACAATGAAATGTAAAAGGAAACATTTAGTTACATATTGTCCATTTTATAAGATATTTCCTATTCTAGACAAAGGTCTTCTTATAACATCGCAAATCTAGGATAAAGAATTTTTGCATAACGAGGCAATTGGTGCTCATATTTTTAAACTAATAACCAAGTCTACAGCATTAGCCAACATAATTCTTCAGTTCATGTATCATAAACAATTTATATTCAACACAAATGACAGTGTGCACTGACTTTTGGCTTCACTGACACATTTTGAGATTTTGATTACTTATGTAATAGGTAAGAAATTCTAAAGAAGTAACGGTTTGTTGCTAGAAAAACAAATCTTGCAATAAGCAATCTAAGTTACAGTACAAATAACTTAAAGCAACAGCAACATCAGGAAGGAGTATGTGACAGGGGGACGATCGAGAGCATCCTGTCATATAGCATCACAGTCTGGTTTGGAAGCATCACTGCTTCAGACAGGAAGGCGGTGCAGAGAGTGATGAGAATGGCCAAAAAGATCATTGGCAGTTCCCTCCCTCCCATCCAGGACATAGCACATAAGCGTGGCTTGAGCAGGATCCACAAGATTATCTGGGACACTACACATCCTCTTCACGACCTGTTTTTCTTGTTACCTTCAGGGAGGAGGCTTCGTGATTATCCGTAGCAGAACATCCAGATTCAGCCAGTTTCACTCCATACAGCATTAAACTTGTGAACTCTCAAGCTTCCTCCATCCGTTATATATTCAAGATGGACAGTATTTAATATTTCTTTGCTACGTATATGTAGGGATGTGGGTCTATATATATGTTGTTCATAGTATGTTTAGGTGTGTGTCATGTATGTGTTTCACTTTGAGAGCGGGCAACTAAATTTCATTTTTGATGTGTGCAATTGTGCCCACAGTAAAAAAATGACAATAAAGGTTATCTTATCTTATCTTATCAAGCTAGAGAAATACTAGGGTCTAAAGGAGAAACTAGAGAGGATATGGAATGTAAAGGCCAAAGTGGCCCCACCAGTGATAGGATCTTTATCTAGTCTTGGTACACCAACTGCAGCTCAACAAAAATTAGAGGATCCTGCAACAGTAAGTCATGCCCTGACCATATGTCTGGACTATAATGAACCTTACATGGAGCTCTTTTTGAGGACTACTCAGAAACTGCAGTTGATACGAATTATGATGGTCTACCTACCAGATGTTACCAAGATCACATTTCACTCGTGCTGTAGGCCTTGCATTGGTTGTCCATGACTTTCTGAGTGCAATTCAACATTCTGTTTTACTTATAAAGCCTTATATAGTTTGGGAACTAGCTACCTGAACAATCATCTTCTCCAAACAGAATTGATCTGTCCTAGAAACTGACTGTTTTTCATTTTCATAAAAGTGAGAGAGTGACACTTTCAGGCCAGATTTTTATTGCAGCACCAGCCTTATGGAATAGCTTTCTCTTAGAAGCTAATATGCCCCATTCGTAGAAGCATTCTTGAAGATGATAAAGACTTTTAGAAGTCTTTTAGAAGTAGTTAACAGGTTGTTGTTATTATTAGTTAGTTATTATTTAATGTGATTCCATCTGTATCTACCTAACAACATATCCAATTTCTGCTTATTTCCTTTTGCATCTGAGTATTTAACTAATAACTTATATACAAAAATAAATACAGATTTCATTTAATTCCTAAAGATGTCTTCTAAATTTTTCCATTTACTTTAACATTTATTAAGGGATAGCTTAAATTCTACCAATCTTGTTGACGTAGTTTTGACCGATATTTGGCCTCAAATGGAATAAATTTATCCTAATCTAGGCTCTAGAAAGTCTTTAGCATGCTTGTCACATGTTTGATTGTAGTGTGTTAATTCCAACTAGATTGAGAAAAAGAGTAAGATCTTTTTAAAAAGATTTTAACAAGGCTGATAATGATTTAATCTTCCAAAAGTAATTAAATGATTTAATATTCCCAAAGTGGCTAAACTTACACTTCCTAGAATATTTTTAACTGCTTCTTCATTATTAGAAACACTCCATAATAATGTGCATACTGCAGCACCCATTTCTGTACAATATTCAGCTTGTTGTAGTAATTGTTGCTTTGCATCATTCAGCTGCTGTCGAATATTTAATTTTTCCTGAAAGTAACCAAAATATGAAGAGATATCTAATAGTACTAATTATAGCATTCAGACAGTTCTAATGTTTCTCAAGAAGTTGCAAAAAATCTTACCGGTAGCAAATTTTAAATAACAATGATTTAAACGTGGCTGCTGAGAACCTTAAATGCTTCCTTATTGCATATCACAAAGAGAGTATAAGAAGCAAGTTAGACCTGACCATGGTAACCAAGTTCATTGTATTACAGTATATGTAAAACAGAAAATATAATTTTCTCAACTAAAAGGGGGGGCATAGGTGAAGGAGCTGAATGCTCTGTTTTTTTGTGTTGCCCAACATTTTGTTTTCTTCAAATTATCACATCTGGATTATAAAAATTCAGACATCCACTAAACAGCAGCAAAGTGTTAACTTTACTACTATCTCATAGTCATTTATTCTAGACTTTTGCAGCCCAAATCTAGTAACCCTAATTTATCCAATCTAAATCTCTCGGAAAAGGAAGCTGGCCAAGGAAACAAAAATCTTGGGTGACAGAAGACAGGAAATAGTTTAATTCTTTTCATCTGTAAGTACAGGTAATCCTTAACCTATGACCACAATCAGGACCAGAACATCCATCCCTAAGTGATATAGTCATTAAGTGAGTTCTGCCCAATATTACAACCTTTTTTCCCATGCTTGTTAAGCAAATCATGCCCCCAATTAAGTTTGCTTGTTGGAAGCCTCCTGGGAAGGTAGCAAATGGCCATCTCCTGACCCAAGGACACTGCAATTGTTGTAAATACATGCTGGTTGCCAAGCACTCAGATTTTGATCATGTGACTGCAGGCGGGCTGTGATAGTTTTAAGTGTGAGGATCAGTTGTTAACTAACTTTTTACAGCACTGTCTTAACTTTGAACAGTTGTTAAATGAATTTCATAAATTGAGGACTACCTGTACTTTTAAATAATAAAAATAGATTTCCACCACCATATATGAACAGAGGAAGCGTTTGAATAAATCAACCATTATATTCAGTTTGGATACAAAATAATAAAACAAAGGCAATAGACTAAAATAAGATTTATAATTCAGATCTTTTATGATCTTTAAAGAAAGGCAATGTAAATCTGAAATTCATTATATTGTTTGTGGTTATTTCAACTGTATATACCTATACTGTGTCTAATGTTTAACTTATGGAGAAGACTTCAATATATTCGTCAGCAATTCTTCAATTTCTTTCCACAGTTTTTATATATCACTACTTCAAAGAGTTAACAGAAAAAGAAACAAATTTCTGAGCTCTTCTATAAGTGACTTAAGCCAAAGAAATGTTTTCTGCTCATAAATGCACACCTTCCTAGAGAAATGGACAGTCTTGTCTCTGATATCACAAGGAATTTTTGGACGATTCAATAAAGAATTGTTAAAAACTTTCTATTTGATTCACATGCAAAAGGTAAGTATGCAAGAACATCTGGGAACCTCTGACATTTTAAACAGTTTTCGTATCGGCTATGCAACCTGGAAATAAAGAAAGTTGTACACTAACACGTGCAAAGACATTAGATTGCTGAAAATTGTTTAACTATAGGCAGCAATATCTTATGGAAATGGAAATAACATAACAATGAAATTCTATAGAAGTCACCTCTTTGAGTCCAGCTGGACTTATCTAGAAATATATATACATAGGATTTGCATCTTCAGTCTACAAACTCTCTATGAGAAAATAGAACTATCATGCTAGAAAAAATATCTTATCTAGTTCGAGAATTTATTTAGTAGTTACTTTTAGTTGTATACTAGTGTTCCCTAATACAAAAAAGTGTTGAATTGTCATAATAATCTGACAATAGTAAGCGTGTTTTCATCTTATTAAAAAAGCAATCCTATGAGCAAAATATTAGCACATATTGTCTCACATAACTTTAGCCTACTTGTGTGTGTGCATATTTCACTGATTTCTAAAAGGTAGTATTCTCAGGAAAACAAATACAGAATTGCAGAGTAGAAGTCTAGTTAAGACTGAACTTTTAACCTTATTTGCCAATAGCCAGTGTATAGCAATTAAGGTATTGGTCTATGAGAAAGCAGATCTATGTTCCAGTCCACCATCAGCCATGAAAATTCACTGGCTAGGTTTGGGCCAGTCATTCTCAAGACCACCAACCTTGTTGCCATTTTATGGATAACAGGAAAAGCACATAAGCCACATTAAGCTTCTGGAGGAGAGGTAAGATGTAATTTCAAAAAAAAAAACTGGGTAATGAATAAGAATCCTCCTTTACCATTCTTTCTCTCACACAGTCTGCCTGGGCTGCTTCCAAGCGAGCTTTATAGTGTTCACAATCCATTCTCAATTGTTCCAGTTCATTAGCTTTCTTTTCTACAACTAAAAATAGAGGACCACAAGCAACACAATGAAAAACAAATCAAGTCATTCAAATACTACACTTAAACTGCAACAATCAGCAAATCACGCTATACAGAAGAAAGTAACAAATATGGTGAAAAGCTTGAAAACCAAATCCTTCAAGGACAGGTTGAAGTAGTGTGTACATTTAACCTTCAGAGGCAAATGATAATATGTTAGACATCTTCAAATATTTGAAGAGAAGTCATATATATGACAAAGCAGTTTTATTTTCTTGTTATGTGTACTACTTAAACTAATAGGTTTAACTTATAAAAACAGACATTTTTCTTAAACTTTATTAAGAACTCAATTTGTATAAGCTGTTTGACTCGGAAACAAGCTACCTGATAAACTAATGGATCATTCTTATAGATTTTCAAGCAGTGACTACAATATAAGTAGTATGCTTAACACATGGGTGTCATGTATGCTTAACACATGGGTGTCAAACTCAATCGCATGACGTAATGTATTGTGACATATCGTGATTTTTTTTGCCTTTGCAGAGCCAGGGTGGGCATGGCCTGCACGTGATGTATCCAGCCTGCAGGCTGTCAGTTTGACACCCCTGCTTTAGCAGGACCCTGTAAGAATACACATTTGGTAAACAAATATTAGCTAGACCGTCGATTCTGTGCTTTTCAATTTTTTATTATCTTACAAATCACTTGGAGGAGGTGGGGGAAGGAGGAAAAGAACATGAATTTTTTTTTAATATGCTCTCAACTAAGCAAGGAGAGAAGCAACCTAGAACTAAGGAGAAACTTCCTGACAGTTAGAACAATTAACCAGTGGAACAACCTGCCTCCAGAAGCGGTAAATGCTCCAACATTGGAGGTTTTTAAGAAAAGACTGGACAGCCATTTGTCCGAAATGGTATAGGGTTTCCTGCCTGAGCAGGGGGTTGGGCTAGATGACCTCCAAGGTCCCTTCCAACTTTACTATAATTATTATTATATAAACAAGTAACATCAGGAAAATGATGTTAACAGGTCCTGCGAGAACAGGATAATCATAAATCAACACACGTTCTAAACTGTTATCGGTCTGAATCCATGTTATGGATTCAGAGCTGTGGTGGTGCAGTGGTTAGAATGCAGTATTGCAGGCTGATTCCACCCACTGCCAGGAGTTTGATCCTGAACTCAAGGTTGACTCAGCCTTCCTTCTTTCTGAGGTTGATAAATATAAGTATATACAGCTTAGAAAGTGCTGTAAAGCACTATGAAGTGATATATAAGTCTAAGTGCTATTGTTATTATATTTGGCTCAGATAGGCAGCAAGCAATTATATCTTCTCCTCTTTCGCAAGAATATGAAAACCAGTAACACTGAGGCTGAAGTAACTAGATCAGTTATGATCAAGAGTAAGAAAAGCAACTGTACAGTTTCTCTTTAATTTGAACTTTTAACTGCTGTGAACTGACTATGCATGTTCATCGTGCCGGATGCTGGTTAGGTGGGTGGGGAGTGGGGCCGGCCGGGAGGCGTCTATATAGAGCACTGGGAGGCGGTTGCTCCCAGTGCTGACTTTGTTTACTGTAAGCTTGAAACTCGCATGCCAGAACATCTTATATAAGGGTGCGTCTTATACACGGAAAAATACGATAATGCCGTGCAAGTTATGAATTTAGAATTTTAGTTCCTGTCATAAAAAGATCATTTGGTAGGGAACAAAGCACGAGGAGGAATGTTTTTAATACTCTTCCTATCGGCCAATTTTCCATTCCAAATTATTTCCATTTTTCAACTTGATATGAAGTACCATGTTTCCCCAAAAGTAAGACCTACCCCGAAAATAAGCCCTAGCTTGATTTTGGGAGGTGGGCCTAATATAAGCCCTATCCTGAAAATAAGCCCTAGTTTTGGGGCGAGGCACATGCCTAAAAATCAACCTAGGGTGGGGATAGGGCTGTGGAGCTTACCATTACAACCAGGCCTCCCATAGATCGACACTTGCCTTGCCTCAGCCCACTTCTTCTGCAGCCAAAGGAGCAACTTCATTCTGCAGCTGAGAATGGAGCTCTGGCCTGCATTTCACAGTCAGAGACCTTTCCATAGCTCGGTTCTCGGCTGCAGAGGTCTTTCCAGAAGGCCTGTGACTGCAAAATGCAGGCCGGAGCTCCATTCTCAGCTGCAGAATTAAGCTGCTTCTTCAGCCACAGAAGAAGTGGGCCAGCTAGGTGGGGCTGTCGGGGCTGTCACCGCAAGGTGAGTGGAAAAAACCCCCACCCCCGAAAATAAGACCTGGTGCCTCTATTGGAAGCAAAAATAATAAGACCGGGTCTTATTTTTGAGGAAACACAGCAGATTATTAGGCAAGGAAAGTGTCATCCCAATATTTACTTCACATTCTTCCCTCTTGCACCTTAACTGCTTTTGAACAAAAAAGGAGGGCCTTTTGTAAGTTACAAATGTTTGTATTATATTTAAATATTTTTACTATATTCCTGCCTTGAATATTTTAAAAAAATTAAAAGCAGGATGCAACTTAACAAACAATACTAACAATTGTCTTGCTTTCATGGAATATTCAGTACTATTCTATGAATTAACTGTGGTTAATATAGGAGAACTTACTTGTTTCAAGGGCATCCAGTTTCTGAAAGCTTTCTAAGATATCACTATTCAATATCTTGGGCAGAATGTCATGCAACTGCATTACTTCAGTTGTCAACCTCTCCAAAGCTCTCTTTTTGACCTTAACAAATTCAACTTCTACTTCTGTTTTCTGCAACAGAACAAAACAATTTTCCCCTTTTTTTTCTCTCTCTGCTATTCAACAAATGTTTTTAACAACGAACTTTATTTCTTTATTGTTACATTTTGGGCTATATTAACCATAGTTTTCATATATTGTTTGGATTTATACATTTCAGAAGTATTAAATATATACTTAATATATAAATATATAAAAGAACAGATAGAAGGTGAGTATTTAGGTGAAAAAGAACATTGAGAAATTAACCCGTCTTTGGATAAATTCTGCATAGGCAAGTGAATCATAGCAGTACGCATTTGTTTTAGCATTCATCTTATAAAAAAATCTACATATAAGATGAAGAAGCATTCATCTTATAAAAAATCTACATATACAGCATACAATGCTGAAAAAGCAGTTAGTTTTACATACAAGACAACTTGCTCCCCCTTTTAGCTTCGAAAAGATTGAGAAGTTTAATATCCATTTTATTTAGTACAATTTAACATTACATTCACACGTAACTTTTCATTAGCTATAACTTGCTGAAAACAAGCCATCTTAGCAAATTACATAAGGTAACTTATTTCAATACACAATAGTTAAAAAACCAACTGATATCTTCTAAGACATTCATTAAAAACAGATATTATACACACACACACACACACATTCAGCCACAGGAACCATATACAACTGCTCACCTTCCATGACTGTGTTGGTTCAGTACCATTATATTTCAGAAAACTGTATATTATTAGCATTAAAACGGTGTAATGAATTATTTTACATACCAGACTAGGTGTTTTTATTTGCTCCTTTATTACATTTATTTCTAAGCAAACACGCTTAAAACCATATCCTTAAAATAATACATCAGTTGATACAAACTTCCTTTTAAGCGCCTCAGGAGTCAACAATTACAGCGGCTCACTAAATTAACCTGTTCGCACAACGCACGGTGCTGTCAATAACCACCCTTGAATGTTGTGAGAATTCAGCCGCCGCTATATTCACATTCTTGTAGGCCAGTCTCTGGATGCATGAAAAAAAAACAACCGAGAAAAGCGCCTCACGATCGATTCCTGAACCCAATTTTTATCACTACCATAATGTGGCTGATGGGAGGGGGGGCGGATAAGAATCATCCCCCTGCCGCCGCCGCCGCCTCCTAAGTGAGGGGGAACGGCTAATTTCGAGCGTAGGATCGAGAATCTCGCGGGAGAGTAAAACCAGCGCTTTCCGCTACCTGCTGTCCGCCCCCTAAGTTGCCAGGGCTGGCTGAGCTCCCGCGCTTCATCTCAACACACGATCAAGAAAGGACGCTCGCTCCTCAGGCTCGCTTCGCATCACGTGACAGTCATCTTGCGGCTGCGTCAACTCTCGAAAATCGCCAGACGTCGGGACTCTTTTGCTGCTCTATATTGTTATCTTGGTGGTTAAAAAGTCCGTCTCTTTCGTTGGAAGTTCCAGTTGGTAACCCTATTAATAAAACTTTGCTTCTGGTCACCGATTTGATTCGGCCGGGATCTCCTAACTTTGGAGAGGTGATGTCTCGGTGTAACTGTGAGAACATGTTAAACTCCATGTATGATAAGATATTTGTTTATTGAAACCACTATCCTTTAAGATATATAGACCTTTCTAATTGGGCATATTTATGGTGAATCGTAATTCCATCCCCCCCCCAACACAAATGACGCTAAAGAATAACGCTTACTTTAAAGGCAGCACAGTAATTCCCTACCAAAAAAGCACTTTGTTTAGTGTCCCACCTTTATGAATTTTACAAATAACTAAGGTGACGAACTTTTTTACAATGAGAAGGACACAAATAAATTGAAGAAAAAAAATATCGTAAATAAAACATTTTATTCATTGCAACAATACAGAATACACTATAATATGATAAATGCATAATAAAAAAGCATTTGTAGCAATAACATTTTATATTGTAATTATGCTTACATGCCTAAAGGAGGGCGATTGGTCACCTTACTATTAGGTAGTGAATATATCTTTTTCCTATTTTCCCCACAATAATCTTGTGAGGTAGGTTGGGCTGAGAGAGAACGACTGACCCAAAGTTAATCAACTGGTTTTCATCACTGTTCTGCAATGTAACATCTTAGCAGTACAGTCTGTGTTTGCACAAAACAACATAAAGTAACCACCCTGACAAGGAGATCATATTAATTCCAATCATAGTATCTTCACAATATATCTGGAACTCAGTTATGTCACTATTCTGCCCAGCTCTATTGTGTGGCACTGTAAAGTAGTTGGCAGTTTCCCTGGTTGAAATTCCCATCTCATCCAACATCATTTTGAAAATTGCAGGAAAAGTTGCCACCAGTCACCAAAAAAAATATAGTGTTTGTATAATTCAACTGCTCTGTCCATATTTTGGGGGGGGGGAAGGATTATTTGCCAACTAACCACTTGGCGAGAACAGAGTTACTTGTTTTCTTTTTCTTAACTAATGATTAACTAATGGTTGTCTAGATTTCTGTAGTCCAGATACAGTCTTGATAAAAGTTTAGATGTGTATAGGGAAAAGATGTTAAGATGTGGAGAACTGTCATATTTTTATAATACAAGATAGCAAGTATTCTGTAGGTCAATAGGTTGATCTTTCCTCTAAAACAAAGTAAATAAAGTGGCTATAGAAGCTAGGATTCCAGCCCCATTTGAAGCCAAAACAACAAAAAGCAAAACTCTGTTGCCAATATTAGAAGTAACTTTACTTTTTGATTTCTTGGTTTGATCTACATACTGGGGCTGACAGTGATTTCTCAGATCAGACTGTGCCTTACTGCACATAACCCTCCTTATACTTGTGTGAATTGGGTGTCTGCCTGAGTCAATTGTATATAACTTCTTCTTTTGACCACAAATCATGGTTTTTGCTTCAGTAACAGATCTGACTTATTTCAGTCAAGGTTATCTTCCTCACTCTCCACAAGTACTGATAAGAGTTTGGACCCCATTCTGCTTTGGCAATAGAAATTCTGCACATTGAAACTCAGGGAGATGGGGTAAAGAATGTCTTCTTTGAGGCCAGTCACTGGCAGAAGTCTCATGTATCTGCACCTGCTAGTTTTTTGATCTTATGTGTGGGATTGGTGAATGACTACCAAGGAAGCCATTTATCACAACTTCTCTCCTGCTTACTTCTTTTCCTTTGGTTCTTCTGCCATTCACAGCAACAGAAACAGAGGAAAGTAAGAATACAGAGGTGAAAATGGCAGGAAAAAAGAAAGTCCAGCTATCTCCAGCATTTGAGAACCTACTGTGCTGAAATGATGGGGCAGTTTTTATATTGTGCTATACTGTATTGCATTGTATTGTTTAGGTGAGTCACTGAAGCAGTAGGTGAGAACTTAAATGGACTCCAGAAGATGGTAGAGGACAGGAAGACCTGGAGGAACGTTGTCCATGGGGTCGCGATGGGTTGGACACGACTTCGCAATTAACAACAACAACAACATTGTTTAGGCATCATCCTCATGCATACAGCTTTGATAACGCAGTACTTCAGATTGGAAGAGAGGGAGGAATTTTTTATCCAACAATTCTGCAATAAGGCTGCCATGGTATTTTTACAGGCTGAAGAAATGCTTCCACCAGTTCCAATTAGGAATAAGTGTATCTTTTCTGTGCTGGGCTAAAATGACCTGCTTGCCCTTTTTGTCTCCCCATTTCTATTAGCCATGAGTTGGGAAGTTAACGGGAGAAATGGCTCTATGGAATCTTATCTGTCTCTTTCCAAGGGAAGACAAACAGTTTGGGGAGATTCCTGTAGGTAGAATTGCAATAAAGTAGTCAACTTGAATTCTTCATGTATTGATCTATTGCTTGGCCCTGCTATACTATAGAAATTACTATAGAAATCTAACTCATTATGGGGGGGAAATGGAAAAAAAAGAAAAAAAATATTGAACTAATAGAGAAGGAAAAAAATCCCTAAAGGAAAAAAAATAAAAAATAAAATCCTATAAGCAGCTAGGCAAATCTCAAAACTCAAAAAACCCACCTAAATTCTGATGGTTCATTTACGGAAATATAACTAGATCTCATACTATTACCAATTATATAACTTTAATTTTTCCAACATTTTGATTCAATCTTTAAACAATACTTTACTATTTTTGTTATTGTTTTAATTGTATGACATGGGCAGCTATAAAAAATAATTAAGTATTGTCTGGTTTTTCAGGTTTCATTCAGTAAAGAGCTGATTCAAAGGATGAGAGATGATAGATTTTGTTAAGACATTAGGAGTCTAGGATGTAAATATTAATCACCTTTTCTGCAATGGTCCAAGTTCAATAAATAAAAAATTCTTTATAGATTGAAAGGTTCCAAATTTGGAGGATATAATTTAATAAAACATTAACATTTTAAATCCTTAAATAGCTCTGAGGAATCTGGGTGATTATAACTAATCAAAATGGAACTTTATATAGCAGACCTTAGAAATTTATTACATCATCAGCATAAAAAAGGGAGCCAACTTTTAAGAAACATTTTCTGACATGTCAAATATATTCTAAAGGGTTTTTTTTTTCAGAATTGACATTTTACACCATATTGGATTGGGCAATATATAAAATTTCTATTCTCTATTCCAAATGTTTATTTATATGGTATCCCAACTCAATCCATATGACTAGTTTATAGTTTGTTGGGCTGTACAGATTGAGAAGTATCAATCAAATCACTATAAAAAGCATTAAGGACATTTCTTTTTCATGGGCCCATATGAAGCTGCATTACAATAATTTTTATAATGAAAGTATAGCGGTTACTATAATACATGATAGACTTTTTAGTTTAGAGTTTTCTTATTTTACCTTATGATATCTAATTGTAATATATTGTTTCATTTATTTTATTCTACAAAAGTCCTGCTGTTACAACTGCGTAATAAATTTAAGTATTACTATTTACCTGAAAATATTTTTGTCCAAAAATAAATTTCAAAATATAACACTAATCTTTGCGGACAATGTGGTAATATAGATTTCTTCCTAAACTTTTAACAGAAGACATTTAAATTCTGGTCAGTTTCAAGTAAAGACAGTAATGGAACATTTCGTACTTTTCATCTCCACGGTAAGCTACGCTGTCAGCTTGGTTATACAAACAGAAGCTTGTTAACAGAAGTAAATATTGGCGCGAAACACAAGGCGTAAATGCCTGCGTGCTTAGAGTCACTACCAGTGTCTAAAAACGACACTGCCTTTGCAAGTCAGATTCCGGGGCATTTCTTAGCTTCTCTTGATTTGCCAGTTACATAAGGTTTATTTTAACAACTTCCTCATATCTTCTAGAATCTAGCCGCTTGGCTACTATTAATGTTATCTTAAATGTGTGCGACACACTTTGTCCGTGACGTCATTCACGGGCGCCAGAGAGCGTCTGGATTCAGGCCAATGTAGCTGCGCCTCCTGTTCGGAAAGAAGGACGTGGTTGTTGGGGGATTATGGCTCCTGCTGCTCTCGTCTCTGCTGGGCAACCTCCTGAGATCCAATTTGCTCAGAGGTTGGCCTCGAACGAGAAACGGATTCGGGATCGGGCGCTGAAAAAGTTACGTGGCTACATTACGCTCAGGACCCAGAGTCTAGAAGGTAAGGTTGGAGAAGCACGTGGGACAAAATATCGTGTCAGGCCAGCGGTGAAGACGAAAATACACGTTATTGATAAACACGGGAAGGACCATCTCCAAAGCGATAGGAGCAAAAGATGCATTAAGATGATGTTTATATGAATAACAAGTTACATGCTTGCTACATTTAACGGCTAATATGAAAAATTGACATTTGTATGATTGCACAATTATACATAGTTCTCGGAACTGTATTTTTGGGAAATGGACATTTGTATGATTGCACTTAATTATGCATAATTCTTGGCTCCATCACATAAGCAGTGCAAGTTTCGATTTACTTTTTAAAATAATGATTTCCTTTTGTGCTATAGGTTGCTTCAGTCAAGAAGAATTGTTAAAAATATGGAAAGGATTATTTTACTGTATGTGGATGCAAGATAAACCTCTCTTGCAGGTATGTTATATGGAGTTGAAAGGATCACGGGATCATTTAGTACAGGGTTTCTTAATTAGCAGATCCACAACCCTTTGAGGGTTGAGATAGATTTCACAATGCCTGAATTTATAGGGGGGGGGAAATATAACTTTATTTTCATATATACTGTGATGTTACATATTTTTAATATTTGATCATTGCATTTGAGCATAATTGATATCCATAGATTTCACCAGACTCTCAGAGGCCAAAAAAATTAAGAACTTCTGATCTAGTCCAACCCCCTTTGATGTATAAGAAAGCTAATTACATTAAAGTTAAATATCCCATGAGATATGACTATCCAGCTTTTTGAAAGCCTTAAGAGATGGAAAATCCTCGGTTCCATAGATTGATTACTCCATTATACATCTAGTACAGATCTTACTAATAGGAAAATTACTCTTATACTTAGACAAAAGAGCTATAGCTTATATCCATTACCAATCCTAGTTTCTGTGGAATAGAAAATTTATCCTTTTGCTTGTCGTAGTTTTCTCCAGGCTAAACATCCCAAGTTCCTTCAGTCTGTCCTCACAGGGCATGTCATCAAGACCCTGTATCACTTTTGTTGCCCTCATCTGAACCTGTTGTAACCTGCCAAAGTCCTTCTAGAAATACAATGCTTAGAATCATGCATAGTACCGTATTTTCTGGCGTATAAGACGACTTTCTAAACCAGTGGTTCTCAACCTGTGGGTCGGGACCCCATTTGGGGTCGAATGACCATTTCACGGGGGTCGCCAA